TGTAGGGAAGGGTTAGTTACAGAAAGGGTATTTTGAAAGCATGTACAAAGAACCGCAGCTTTGTTTAACTTAAACTTGATCACGTAGGCGGGCCAGTCTCTGTGACAGCTCATCCTGCAGAATTGTAAAACACAAAGAAACCAGCTATCAGTTATATGAAAATTAATTTTTGCAAAGTTCTGCAACCTCATGTCCAGATGATATGAAATTATCTCATGCCCAAGTCTTAACAAGATTTAAGACCCCAAGAATGGCTGTACCAGGTCAGACCAGAGGTCCATACAGCTATCTCATCTCCAGCAGTGGACACCTAGGAAGGAGTTTCAGAACACAGCAAGTAGAGACAGGGTTGGTTTGCTTTGGTTTTTTCTTATGTATCATCTTTGCAAGTGCAAATCAGCTCTTGCAGAACTGCAGCCTTGACTGACCAAGGCTGGTATCCAACGGAACTGCTGCAGCGAGATGGCAGTAGGTCTATTTCTTTCAGAGGGCCTGGGACAAGGTGAAACTGAACTTTTCAAAGAATGTGGAATACTTGGGGCTTCCCAAACATGGTTCAGTTAAGATGAGGCTCCCTAAAACCTCCACAAGGATGGGATGACAGAGATCAATTGTTCTCTTTCCATTCCCTCAAATACATTCCCCTAGAATGGGAAAAGCAACTCACCAAAAGATCTGTGCAAGCTTGACTTCAGGATCTGCCCGTGCACAAGAAATTCTAAGCTATCCATCTAGAGCAAATATGGAATTGTCTGCACTCGTCCCATGAGACCTTTCACACATTAAAGGGGAAAACCCAAAGGCTTCATGTATGCTATGGGAGATGGCTGGATTCATTAAATTTGGAGTAGGTAGGAGAGCCAACTGCTTGGAACTCTATGAAATAACTATGCAAAAATAAATCTGAAACATCTAAACTTTCCGGATTTACTAAGCAGACAAATGTATTGTTAGAATTATTTTGATCGCAAGATTGTTTTAACTACACACTATTTCTTTTGGACAGCTAAACTCTAATTACAATTTAGCAAGCCTGTTTTGACCGTGTGAAGCATTAATTCTTATACCGCATTTCTCTAGGAAACATTGATTTCAATTGAATCTAACGTTTACCTGTTCTGCTGAGGCAACGCTTGTACCAACAGAACCTGTCTGTCCTTGAGGTAGTTCCATGTTCAGATCAAGACTAATAGGAGAAATCAAAACAAGAAAACCCAAGTCAGGCATACATGGCTAAAGGAAGCAGCACAATAACTGACAAGCAGAGCAATACTGAGATAGCACGAGGCCACCAGCATCCCACGAACGCTCTACTCCAGCCAATTAGACAACTTGATCAGCAAGTCTGACTCATTACGAAGTCATATATTACAACTAACCATAGCTAAATAAATTCTGCTTCATCAGGACTGAGCAGGATTTCTGTTTAACAGAGGTACATCAGACATGGCATACGTATGAATGACAAAAAGTTCACTCATAAAAGAAGAGTTTTACTAAAAAAATTTGTCAAAAGTATTTATCCTCAAGGCAACACAGCAACACTTCCAACTTACGCGTCACCAAGAAGGCAAGTAAAATTCCCTGAAATATTTCAGTATACCCCAAAGGCTTAAATATGTCACAATGACCCGTTTTGCAATGTCTAGCTTGTGAGAGCAGAACTACAGGAAGATTTAATGTGGTAAGGAAGGGAAAAAAGACGAAAAGCGTGGAGAAACATGGCAAGGATTGCTAATGCTAAAGCCAATCCAAGTAAATAATAAAACGCTATCCTGACATGACAAGTGACATATGATTTTAGGCTTTTGAACAAGCACCCCTGCATCGTGACATTCACAGTAGCTTTGCGTGAAAACAGAATGAAATAGTGGCAGCTCAACTATTACGAGAATGATGCCCAGAGGTGAAAGGAAATTAGTAATTCTTCTCTGCTTCCAAGAGACAGACACATATAAAACACGGGTCTCTGACCTTCAAGTTAACCAGGAAGGGTTGTTGGAACCAAGAGTTATTCAAGAAATAGTCACTCAAAATTTTACCTACCCTGCTTCATCTGCCATCTCCTGTAGAAGCATATCCACTTGGTTCTAGGGTAAAGAAAACAAAATTGATTGCTGCATATTGTAGTTTACGACAAGCTCTTCCGTTAAATCTTGAGAGAAGAGAAACTATTTTAACAAAACCGATTTAAACGTGTCTTTCACAGAACATTTTTGTGCTTAACCACCAGAGGGCCCTGCACGAACTCAAAAGTAATGAGTAGAGGTGCTCGGCCTGTTAAAATCCCATTAATTGAACTCCAGCTTCTGAAATAATACTTCTAAAGAATTAAACTTATCTGTAAAAAAAAAACCCCAAACATACACTTGAATATTTCAAGTGTTGATTATTAGCTATTAAAATACTGCTTTGCACAACATGGAGAAAAGCCCGTCTCCAACAGATTTGGTTTACTGGATTTGGGTTTAGGTTTATTTATTTTATTTACAAAGCACTATCTCCAGTAACTAACTTTCTCTGAGAAAGCTTCTGTTGGAATAGCACATTTAGCTCCTTATGGAACAGCACAAGGCGATAGGTGCTAGGTATTCTTAACTATGTCAAGCACTGTTTAAGGATTTATTTTAGTAAACACGTGTCCATAAATTGAAAGCAGGTCATTAACAACCTTTCCATTGCACATAGTACTACTAATTTGGTGGTGACTAATGTCATTTTGTTAGTATCAGTGAGTTAGAACTATTGATTTTCTCACAGCATACTCTGCTTTGATACTTAATGCTGCAGTGTCTTCTGGTTCAGAAGTTCATTAAGAACTCATCAAAATGCTGCTTATTCAGTAGGAGGGTTAAAGTTTAAGATATAATATGAAATAAAGCCCGCTACATAACCATGAAATAGACTAACATACATATATGCGATCCTCTGTATTTGTGACTGTAATTTGAAATCGTCTCTTCATCACAAAGAAGAACAACGCAGAAGTGAAAACAGTTGCTGTTATGTCTCAAAGTCGGCAGACAAAAGAGAATCGGACATTTCCACACAGTTTAGACACATAATTTAAGATCACCTTTTTTAAAAAAAAAAAAATTTACTATTCTTACTTGTGGCGTTGTTAGCGTAGTAGTGTTGCTCATTGTGTCTTCCATCTGTTGTGTCTGAACATCTAGTGTTTCAAACTGATGCTCAAATTTATCCATTAGTGCAGATATCTATTAAAAACATGAATCAAATCAATGGCCTGCAGATACCAGGAGAGAAATATATCTGAACTGGCAAATATAGAATCACACTACAATAGAAGGCTGCAAGCAGCTTCTGGAGATCAGAAGCCTGTCCCCCTCCCAGCAGCACCTCTGAAGTTGATCTAACACAGCAGTTCAAGCAGGTCGGTCAGGGCCCTGTCCAGCCAAGTTCTGATCATGTCCATTTATGAGGACTTCACAACCACACTGGGCAACCTGTTCCAGGATCTCTCAACCTCACTGCAAAACCTCTTGTCTTGACTGGAATTTCCCTTTTTAAAACACGTGCCCATTGCCCCTTCTGCTTTTGATGTGCACCTCCAAGAAAAGTAAGTACCTATTTACCTTTTCCAAGTTCATGCTCTTCAGCGTGGCATCCATAGACTTAACTACTCCTGCCATCGACTTCGTTACCTGAAGTGAGGTAAAGGGAATTATTACAAAGAAAGAAAAATGAGCAGTGTCTCAACAAGCTCTCTTACCTCTGTCCACAGAGTTTCTACAGTATCAAACAGCAGGGCACACACTACTGCCATCTAGAACGCCACTGTTTTTTATAGCTCCCACCATTTCAAATTCTATAAGTTAACTTAACCACTTGAAATATGCATTCTGAGCTGAAATTCACTAAAAAATGAGTTGTAGATGGCATTAACTTTTGTGGGTCTTGAGACCTGCCAAACGTTAAGGGATATATTTGGTATACAGATCACATGGCAGAATAAACTCTCTGGCTGAAGAGCAGTACAGTAGAGCTAAAAAACGTTTCTGGAATCACAAGTCCTACATCATGACTTTATGTATGTGGAAGCGGAGCAACATCTTTGCAAAATAATCTGAACAGTGTAACCAGCAAAACAGACTGCATCCTTAGGAGCACGAACAGTAACAGATAACAGAAGTTACCACCAGCTACAAAACATAGCAGATAGCAATCTATTTCTAAGGAGCAGCTGCCAGGGGGATTCCAGTACCTGATATACTATTGGCTACATTTGAAACCAAAACTGAAACTTTTCCGCTCATTACAGATAGAATTAAGCCGCTTCTAAGAAGATCAGAGGTCTCGTCCTTGCAACACATTTGTGAAAACAGACTTACCTTGCCCATTGTCACTGCAGTCTGAACTCTTGCTGCTACAGCATCGACCCTGGCACTCATGCGCAAGAAATTGATGGCTTGATTCTTCTGGCGGATTGCATTTTCCGCATGTATTCGCGCGACTTCCATGTTACCCTTCTGAATTGCCTGTTGAAAAAAAAAGGAAAGAAAAGGCATTTTAACCTTCCCTGCTCTTGTAAACCTGATTTCTGAATAGCCTATTTCGTTTTTGAAATAAGCATCAATACGTCACAATATCTTTTCTATTAAAAGAGAAAAATGAAACCCTCCCTCCTCCCCCAGTATTTCTCAAAGTTTTTCAAGATGTGAACCCCTAACTTCTTTCCAACGAAGCTATCTAGCACACGCTTCAAGTAGAAGGTTTTACAGAGCTACAGAAACATAATTTTCTCATTCCTAAAAACATTTTCTGTATCAAGACCCGAACACAGATACAGTTGGTATGGTTGTATTTCATGGACAAAAGTATAGTCAAATAAATTTAGTCCCTCTCTTTACTACTTCAAGGACTCAAAAACTATTTTAAAGTTCCTCTCCATAAGCCCGTTTTAATACAAGACGACAAACATTAAGATTAAACATTTTTAACTTTGAGAACAACAGTCTCTAATAAAACACATACAAGACAATTTTCTCAGGAAGCAAATGCCACAAGCTGAACAAGAGGATACACAAGAATGTATCCTCACATTTATTAATAAGTATGGGAAGATTTATAGTCATATATTTTAAATCACAAGCATCTATCACAATATTATGAGCATGCATACCAGGAAAATGGTAAAAACACCAGATATTTTCCTGCTATAATACGTAAACAACAGATCTAAAGAGCTTGTTTCAGACCCACTGCTTACCTTCTTGATTTTAGCTTTCTCAGCCTTTTCTTCTTTGTCGCATTTTTTTGAGTTCCTATTGAGTTCCTTTGCAGCAAACTTCAAATTAAACAGGTGTTCTGCAGCGCAAGTTAAGGGTTCAAGAACAGGATCAATCCTTTCACTGCAGTATTTTGCTCTCCTCTTTGAAGCGCTACCAAACCCGGCGTATACTGTGTTTCCCCATTAGCGACATTAAAACTTGGAAAATGTTATTTAAGTAAGCCCTTCAAATTCACACAATAAGGAGACCCACCAAGCTGCTTTACAAGTATAATGCCACTTGTCATCTGGGTTCTAAAATGTAAGGCCATAAAAAGTAAGTTCAGACCCCAAACTGGCTCCATTTAACATCAAACCTACTTCAGACTGATCAATACAACAAACGAAACCTCCCCCAAGAAGAACTGAGAGTCTTACTCTGCCAGCTACTTTCACTCACACACCCAGAGGCCTAGACTCTCAGTGAAATGGAAGTGCGGCTTACTGGCCTGCCTGGAATCTCCCCATCTGAAAAAAAAAAAAAACAAAACAAAAAGCCACTGCGGAACAACAGACAAATGAAGAGCGTAGCAGCAAACCGGCTTGGCTGACCAAGCCCAGGAACAAAGCAGGCGGCAGAGCTGCCCTTTCAAGCCACAGCACGATCTCGGGTTTAAATGGCTCATGCAGCTCCTTCACAGAGCAGCCTCCCAGCCCTGGGTCACGTGAGCGATTCCGGGATCCCCGACAGCTCTGTCGTCTGACTTTTGGGGAAAGAATCCTTAAGTCAGCAAGAGAAACTTTTCTTTTCAGAAAGTTTAAGTCCTGTTTAAGCTGAAAGCTCTAAGAATACAGTAGAACAAGCCTTCATAGTGACTTAGAATGACTGCATTAAACTGTTACTGACAGAAAATAAACTACGTGCTGTAAAAATAACAATTAAAACCCCCATACTCTTAAAATACCGTTGATGAAAGCTTCCAAACAGTATCAGTCTTTCTCAAACAAAATGGAAGTACAAAGCTTTATAGGCTTCCTTCATGCCACCTTTTGATATCCCAAGAGGAAGATGCAGCAAGTACTAAGTCGCTTAACAGTTAAGTGGAAGCACATAAAGCTGAACGCTATGAGGTACTTGAGGTTTCTTTAATATTTCAAGTATATAAATTATTCCAGAACTGTTTTTTTTTTTCCTTTCAAGTCCAGCCATGCATCTTAGAGCTCTGAGAGCAACCTGAAGACATCAGGAATTTATTGATATATTTGTTATCCTATCCTATAAACACCACAAGCGGGCTACAAAAGGTAACAGCTGTGCCTACGCATCTAGGCTATCTGTTAGGGTGGCTACCAGTAACACTAAAATTGCTGCTTGTGTTTCTATTTCTTTGGTTTAAAACCTAGGTCACCATCCCTTTCAGCAGCAATGAGTGTAGTGCACTGAGCCACAGACTCGGTAATTCACCAAACAGGGAAATACCTTTAGGTTGTTCACTCAAGTACACGTCAGGTCAGAGACCAGAACAACCAGGTAAAACATGACATCACCTATTTACACCAATTACACTGAAACAGCATTTCAGGGCAGTTTATTTTGAAAATAAATTCCTCAGTTACTCACTTGCGGCATTTACCTTCGACATAAAAAGAGCTCACCCTGCCACCTCCACAGCTCTTCCACCCCATGACGAGCACATACTGGCTCCTCCCTTGAAACGTCTTTCTCGCTGTGCCATAACCCAAGTGAAACTGAACTTCCACCATTAACCGTGACTCAGGGTCACCTGCTCCAGCACTCCCAGTCAGCCCCCACCGCAACAACTGCCAATGCCCAGCACACTGCAACCACACCGAGACCTCTGTAATCTTTAAGGCTCTTTTTGCCCCTGTGCTTTACAATAGTTTTATACAGCAAGAAAGTTTAAATTTGTCCATAAGGGTTTTCCCTGCGCGTAGCTTCTTTTCAACAGCAGGAAAGGCAGCCGGGTTTGTCCAGCTGACAGCGGTCCCTGTTTGGGGGCACAGCTGGCAAGTTGACAGCATTCCAGCCTATACGCAGCGCTGGATGTATAGCATGTCAGACACCCCTGGTGTGCAACGTGCGCTACTCTACACTTCAAATTGCATTTTCTGCCCCAGAGAGGGGCTGCCCCACCGCGCCCTGCAGCCCTGGGAGAGGGGACACCGCCGTCCCCCTCCTCGGCCCCAGCCGAGGCTGGCTGATTTCGCCTTGGAAAGAGAAACTGAACCTCCCCTTCCCTTCTCCACCCACGCACGGCGGGCAAGACCCACATCTAGGAAGCAGGGCTCCTGCCAGTGCCACACACACACCACAAACCCTCCTCCTCCCGCAGGAGGCCCCCTGAGGCGAGGCCCCTGTCCCCCACGGGGCCGCCCCGCTCCCCCAGCGACCACCGAGATGAGGGCAGGGACCCGCTTCCCCCTTCCCACCGCGTCCCTGGGGCTCCTCCCCAGGCGGAGAGGCCTCGCACGCCGCCCCCGGAGCGCCGGCCCTCAGCTCGGCCCGGCCCGCACCGAGCCAGGGCCTCCCCCCGGCCCAGCCCAGGCCGCGGCGCCCACCCCGTAAGGGCCGCCAGCCCCCAGCCCCGCCAACAGCGACGAGACCTTTGCCCCGAGGATACTCTCCATGTTGGACATGGCGGCGGGGGGCACCGCGGCG